CCACCTTAGGTGTACGCGGCTGGCGCCTTAGCCGGTTGAGCTATAGGCGCCGAGCCCTTTTTAAACATTTTTATAGTGAAATAACAAACATACAGGGAATGCATAAGAATAAATTTACAGATGAACCAATTGTTGAATAGAAAATGCCTGGGCAAGTTCTCAGTCACCCAAGTCACAAAAACATAATATTGCCACACCTCAGAGCCTTCCACATGCCTCCCTATTTCCTCTAAGGGAAACACTCTCTTTACTTACATGGTGTTCACTCATTTGTCATTTATCTCCTAAGGAAATATTCTTAAACAAAAAATTCCATTTTGCAGGTGTTTGAACTTTGTACGTATGTATACGTATGTAATCATACATTACTCTGTAGTACCTGGAACAATGTGTCTCTAAGATGTATACATATTGCATATTCCCATAGTTAAAACATCCCATTTTATGAAAATACCACAATCCTAACATTAATGGCCATTTGGGTAGTTTTCACTTTGGGTCATTGATGATCAATGCTGTGTTAGACTCTGGTACATACACCCCAGTGCATATAAGCATACATTTCTTTAGAGTTTTTCTCGAAGAATAGCAGGTCACCCTGACAGTACAAAATACTCAGAGTCTTCTCTGTGAAACTTATGGACATTTATTTATCTTCTAGAGGCTTGGAAATTGAAATGGATACTTTAAAAATCAGAGCTAACATGTTTTAGACATAGGAGTTAAAATATCAAAGAGTTTACCCTTACAGAGCTAACTCTGAATTACATCTAACTTGATTTTACATATGAAGCTTCAGTCTAGCTGTATTCTGTTTCCAGCTGTATTTCAAAGCTCATATTACAAACAAATTTTGTAACATTCCTCAAACATAGGCCTTTGTCCAAACCCAGTAAAAATGTTATCAGGTTACAATGAATGAGTCTACCTGAGACTCTGCCCACTTTATGTACTTTGGATAAAGCTGCAGAAGAATGAGGAAGACACTCTCAATGAACCTCACCTCCTCTTCATCCTATGGACTGTGTGTTCCAGGAGAGGGTGATGAGGGGGGAAAAGTGGTCCAGAGGTTGCTACTTCCTGAATCACCAAGAGCTGTCTGGGCTCAGCCTCACCCCAGCTTGCTCTCAGACCTCAATCACTTACCCCTGTTTTCTTCAGAGAATCCAATCATTGTGTTGTGATCGTTTTTGTATTCTTTAAGAAACTTCATGGAGGAGATGGAAGAGAGGCTTCACATCCCAGGCTGTACCTAATGAACGGCTGCAGATATTCACAGCAGACTTTTCTGTTCTCTGTATTTCCTCTGTCTGGCTGTCTGGCTGTTACTTGTGACCCTTCTCCTCCCTTTTCCTACACTTGCTCCAGCCTCCCTCAATGTCCTGAATGGTTCGTTTCCAACCCTCCAACCTCTAAGGTGTGCTCCCCATCTAGAAGCACAAAGGTTCTTCAGTTAGGATTCCCCAGCTACCACGGAAGGAAGTGCTGTTCTGTAATTGCCCTGGTGTCAGACCTTGGAGGCTCCCCTGGGCTTGGTAAGCTAAGAACTCATAGCTTCTTTGTCTAGATTGTGCATCCTTCCACTTCCTCACTTATAACTTATCCACCTTATTGTCATTGTCCCAGGTGGATGTAAAGAAAAGACTTCAGGTTAGCTAAAAATTAACCCCCAAACACAAGGAAATACAAAAGTAAAGTTGCAGTAAAATAACACATCCATCAGATTGGCAAAAATTGATAATTCTGGCAACAACAAATGTCGATGAGAATGTGGAACAAGGGGAATTATCTTATCTTGCTAGTGGGAGGATAAATTGGTTTTATACTCTGAAAAGTGGTGTGGTATTTTATAGTGTTAGTGTAACCTGTAATTCCTGAGGTCTTGCCCCTTACTCCTTTACAGGTCATTAAAAATATCCCTCCTAGTCACATAGAATGCTTCTCTGAGATGGGTTCTGATAAATACCATTTTCTCCCTCTTGTTACATCAACATACACATTCAATCCAAACTTTCCTGATTTAACCCAATAGCCTCACCACCACTCACCCTACTGCCAGAAGAGTTCACAGGAACTGACAGGAAATGGGCGACATCCATCTGGTAAAATGACCAGAAGGTGAATAAGATACAAGTGGGGAAGGAGAAGGATGAACAACCTGGACAAAGAAGCTATGCATTTTTAGCTTCCTGGGTCAGGGTGGAGCATCCAACGCCTGACAACTTGCCTTTCCCGAAGTCTCAGGTTTCCCACCCTGGAGCACTGTCTTACATCCGGGGAGTCCCAGCTGCCTGAGGAGCACAAGGAGTGGAAAAGACAGACAGGCCTTCTGCTCTATGATGTCTATGGACAGAAAGAAACGGTAGGTGGACAGGTCCCTTCTAGCCAGTCAGGCTGTGCTCGGCCACCAAGCCCACCAGATGTGCTGGATCATGCCTCCTGGGTGTGCTGAGGGCCCACTGTGTGCACAACTTGGCTTGAGACCAATAAAAGGCTCCAGAGTTCTAGGCTTATTCACCCAAATTGATTTGCAGAAGGAAAATTCACAGCTCTTTAACTTTTCAAGAGGCGAATGTGCTGAAAACTATTGGATAAAAATTTTAAAAGTGGAGGAGTGTCTAAAGACTAGGCACTGTGGCTCACACCTCTAATCCCAGCATTTTGGGAGGCCAAGGCTGGAGATCTCTTGAGCCCCAAGAGTTTGAAACCAGCCTGGGTAACATAGCCAGACCCCATCTCTAGAAAAAAGAAAAAATTAAAAAAAAATTAGCTGGGCATGGTGGTGTATGCCTGTAGCCTCAGCTCCTCAGGAGACTGAGGTGAGCAGATTGCTTAAATCCAGGAGTTTGAGGCTGCAGTGAGCCAAGACTGCATCACTGCACTCCAGCCTGTTTAACAGTGTGGGACCCTGTCTCTAAGAAAAGGAAAGGTGGTGTCCAAGGACATTTTGCCACTTTCTCTGTAATCATTAGCTCAGAAGATCCCACTCTGTCCTGCAACATGGAGACCACCGCCAGCTAGTCCTTGTCACTCCACCCCTAGGTAGGGATCTACCTAGGACTGTAAGGCAGGCAGGATATGGATCCAGAAGTTTATTTCTGGATGTTTAGGAGAATAACATGCGGGTTTGACTATGGAATACTAACAAGGTTGTTGGTGTTCCCCAGAGCCCTCTGTTCTTTGACTCAGAGAAAGGAAGCCGCAGACGGAATGATTGGCAAAAAGGGAGGTCAAGGCTCTCTCCGGCATAGCAACCCTGCCCAACTCTACTGATTATCTTATATGCTCTCAAACATTCAGTAAGAATTCAATACAGGTAAAAGATGTGAAGTAAGATCAGGAAACTGCCATTAAGATCCCAATTCAGTACAATCACTGCTGAACACACATACAATTGATTCTGTTTGGGATTAAAACATAAAGGAGCCAGGTAATCTGCTCTTGCTAGCCTAATTTCCCTAAACCAAAACCAGTGATTATAATGTCAATGAGGGGAGAGGAGCAGAGAACAGCAGCCAAATGCCTCCACAGGTATGCAAGCTTCCAGCTGCAACCCAGGCCTGGCCCTCCAGTTTATTCTTTTGTGAGACCATCTCTGCATATCTGCAGGCAAGACCTCAGAGAAAAGAACTCCATCTCAGAGCCATTTTCCGTGGGGAGCACATGAAGCTAAACTGCCATGTCTGAGCGTGGGGTGCTGTATCCCTACACAAGGTGGATTAGGCAGAAACTTTCTGTAAATGCTACACAGACACACACATAGTGTCATCACAAAGTGTCATTCATGTCCGGAACCTCAGTGGCCTCATCAGTGATAGTGTGGGTGGGTGTCTCTTTTTCAAAACATGCTCAATCCATTTTCAATACTGGATAGAACCCCTTACCGCCCCCCCCCCCGCCATCCCTCTAGCTTATAGAGGATGACTGCCATCTCAGACCTTGTAACCAAGTGACTGTTTTAGTTCTAGTTCATATACTTGTCTGATATTTCTTTGCAATAATATACTGCTACTAATAATAATTCAGTTCATTGGTCTGCTTGCAGGCCTGGTAAATGCTGAGATGCTGGCCTGTGTGCTTGAATGGCTCACAGTTTGTATTTGGATAAGGAGCAGAGCAGCCAAGAACAACACACTACACCCATGACTCCTGCCTCTTTATGTCAATTATTTGCAAGAATAGATGGTGCTTTTTTTTTTCTTAAAACACTTTCATACCTATTCACTCATCTGTGCAACAATTTTTGCCTGCCTTTAGTGTGAGCAGTGATATGTCAGAGGGGAAAGTACTTTCTCTCCCAGGAGCTCAGACCCAGATCCAAGTCTCAGCTCTGCTGATTATGGCTTTAACTCAGGACATAGGGCTGTCATTCAAAATTTTCCATTTCAGCTTCCCCATCTCTAAAGTGGAGATCATCATACCAATCTTGCCACATTTCTATAAAGTAGATGAAAAGAAGTACATAAAACTTTGGTCAGTGTCTAGTCCATAGTACATGCTCATACTATAGTTACTGAAGTCCTTCTTGGGTTTTTTGGTCATGGCACATGCTGGGAGAATAGGGGTGAATGGGATTATCTCTATTCTCTGATGCTCCTTATCTACCAAGGGAAGAGACAAACAAAAATAATGATTGTGCCCTGTAGGTAACAGCAGAAGGGGTGGGGGGAATACTACATGAGGAGAACCTTTCAACAGACTCTTCTTGAAGCCTGAGTCATACCTAGTGGCAGTCATTCATTGAATATGTAGTGTGTGCTTTGCACAGTGAAAAACATTTTTCATGTTCTTGCCAGCACTCTGGGAGGTAGAGTTATAATTAACCATCTTTGGTGGAGGAGATAAGGATGGATTGATTGGCACATAGATGCAATAGAGTCAAGCCTTTCATCTGTCTGAAAGTAAAACAATCCACCATAGAAATAATTATACCTGAGAGAGCTATAAAGAAGGAATAAACCTTATCAGGGAGATAAATGTGGATGGGCCAGTGCTAGTAGAGAGAGCAATCTAAACAATCTCAATACACTGAGAAGGATTTCAGGCAGAATTTCTATCACTGTCCAGCAGCCCTGAATAAGTATTTGTTAAATAGACTCACGGCCTTCGGCTGGCAAAGTGCCACATTGTTGGTACACAGTGGGCTTCACCTACGTTCCCATAGCCCTGGTATTACCCCCGTGCTTCTTCCTTTTCCTCCTCATGTATTCTGTAGATCCTTACACATAGTACAGACACAGCCCATGTTGGTTACATCAAATACCTGCTGAATAAAGTTCAGTCAAAGGCTGGAGCCTAGAATCCAGGCCTTCCTGCTGCCCAGGGAGGGCTCCTTGCACAACATCAAGTGATCTCTGTGAGAACCTGTGATTCTTGCTGTTTTGTGATCAGACCAGACTCCTTGGCCAACCCCCAAATCTCTCTCTCCATCTTTCTCTCTCTCAATTTATTTATTTATTTATTTTGTGAACAGGGACCAATTTGTGGTGTCTCCCGGGGAATGAAGATCAAACCAGGATCTGCAGGGAAGGCCATGCCACCTTATGACGTCCAGGTCTTGTCCTAAGGACATTGGCAGGGAGAAGTTTGGGCTCAGCTAGGGGTGGAACTCTTATGTGACACCAGCCATGCTCCCCTGCCCCAGTCATCCTCTCTTCTCTTTCTGTTTCCCCCCAATTTCCTCAGTTAAGAACTGCATTATCAAGGACACTAATGCAGCTCACCTTGGCAGCCAGGGGCATCACACACAGTGATAGGAAAGAATACCCAGAAGTTCTCCCTACAAGTTTATGCTTTTCATTTTTCATGATCAATGTCTACTTCTTTAAGAAGAAGACATCAGTGATGTCTACATCCCAATGAAACAAATAGACCCTTGACTTGGGTTTCATGCATTCTGATTTCAAAGACCTTTGGCAGTTCTATTCTATCTTCCGGCAAAATTCCTTCATCAACTATCCGTATTTCTCCACTGGTGTCCCATGAATGAGCCAGGCAATGCTTAGGAAGTGGGGGGTACACAGAAGGGCAGGGGAGTCCTGCAGAGTGGTATTCACAGACTTCTTGCTCCAGATCATCGATGACAAGGGCAACATCCTGCCACCCAACACCGAGGGGAGCGTTGGCATCAGGATTAAGCCCACCAGGCCCACTGGCATCTTCAAGTGCTATGAGGTAATGGCCCCCCATATGTCCCCATCCTAGCTCCAAGAATCCCCACAGGGAACTCTGCATCATGAGACTTACTCAGATCTTCTTGTATTCCTCCCAATTCAATGAAGTCTGTTTTAATTAAACTGAAAACTCACAGTGTGTTCCCACATGGTTTCTTGTCCCAACCCACCAGGAACTTATAGGCTAACTGATGGGGGAGAAAGAAGACTGGGTTCAGAACCTTCAGACTTGGTTGGGTTCCAGTGACTCCTTGCACTTAAGAATATAGACTTTGACTGGATTCAGATCATACTATCCCACTTACCAACAACAGGGTGTGAACAAATCACTTATCTTCACTGAGCCCCCAGGAAGCTCTATCATCCCTGCTTTTATAAAGGGAAAAACTGCAGATTGAAAGCCTTAGTTGTCTGCGCCACATCAAATTAGTCAGACATCTGGGATCCATGCCCATGTGTTTTGGGCTTCAAACCCTAAATTAGAAACCCAAGGATTACAGAAAACTGGAAAGGACTATAAAGAAACCTGCTGAAATGCTTGACCGAACAAACCTTAGCCTATAGAATGGTCTTGGCTGCTTTGCTTAAATCAATTAACAATATATGTGAGGGTTCCTTTCAGGGCTCTCTATTCTATTTTAATGGTTTATCTGTCTATATTTATGCCAACACCAAACTTTTATGATTACCGCCATTTTGTAGTAAGTTTCAAATTCAGGAAGTATGAGTCCTCCAACTTTCTTCTCCTTTTTAAAGATTGTTTTGGATATTTTAGGATGGGATTTTCAGTTCCTAAAAAAAAGCTATTGGGATTTTGATAGAAATTGCATTGAATCTATAGATACCTTTGGGCTGTATTATCATCTGAACAACAATATGTCTCGGTCAATGAATATGGGATGTCTTTCCACTTATTTATGTCTTCTTTCAGCCATGTTTTGTAGCTATCAGCATACAATCCTTTGCTTCCTTGATTAAATTTGTCACTAGTACTGCATTGTACTTTTTTTTTTTTTTTGAGACAGAGTCTCACTTTGTTGCCCTTAGTAGAGTGCTGTGGAGTCACAGCTCACAGCAACCTCAAACTCTTGGGCTTAAGTGATTAAGCAATTCTCTTGCTGTAGCCTCCCAAGTAGCTGGGACTACAGGCGCCTGCCACAATGCCCCACTATTTTTTGGTTGCAGTTATCATTATTGTTCAGCAGGTCCAGGCCAGGTTTGAACCCACCTACTTCCATGTATGTGTTCATAACAACTGAGCACAGGCACCAAGCCTGCATAGTACTTTTTTGATGCTATTGTAAATGTAATTGTTTTCTTAATTTCCTTTTTGGATTATTAATTGTAAGTGTATAGAAATGCAACTGATATTTGTCCAGGCATAGTGGATATATACCTGTAATCCAAGCACCTTGGAAGATAAAGGATGGAGGATTGCTTGAGCCCAGAGACTTGAAACCAGCCTGGGCAACATAGCTAGACCCTACCTCTAATAAACAAAAATGAAAAAACAAAAAAAGAAACATAACTGATTTTGGGGTTTTTTGGTGTGTATTGATTCTGTTTCCTGCAGCTATGGTGAATTTATTTATTAGCTCTAACAATTTTTTTTGTGTG